AATTATTATCCCAGAAGCAATTTCCAGGAACCACATCGAATCCACAGAAAACGACACATGGAAATCACAGGACAATCCATTTGTCCTCCTTTTCCCATTAACACTAGATTTACAGAACCCGTGAATTTGACGGAAGACTTGCTCCAATTATACGATGGTAACAGATTATTTAGTTAACTTATATTATGACTGTTTGTTCCGTCCCAGAGAGCGTGTTTAAAATATGATTTTATTCTAAGGCTTACACTTTTAACAGACCTAACGGTTTACAATATATTTTATATCGCGACTGCAATTCCGGAGGATAGATCTGCCTCACCGCCGTTCTAGCGGATTAAGTTGCAAAGGTAAAGGCGAAAGTTTAGGAATTTTTACAAGTACCAGACTCGACAGATGGGACCCACGTGTGACAGACCCAACGAGCGACGGACGGACACCACTTATAATCCACTTATAAATCACGTCATTGACAATCAAAAATCGGCTCCTTGACAGTTTCCTACTCCTTAGCCAAAGGTCCTTCCGTCACACCCTCTGTCCAATTAAAACTCCTTACTTTTCCACCACCAACGTTTATTTTGCCCAATCGGAACTAAACTGGAGAAAATACCGGACAGGACACGACGAGACACGACATAGATCAAATTCGAGAAATCGGTTAGTCTTCGACACCGATCCTTGAAACATCTTACTTACACGTATAAACGCGAGTTCGAAACGGTACTCCGTTCAACGTCTCCATTATAACTATTCTATACTTTCTATAAATAAACGCTCTCTTTTATCAACACGCACTTCGGGATCCTTATTATTACAACTAGTCACGCAATATTAATTTGGCGCGTGATAAGCGTTCTTGGAAATCGAAGAGATTCGATACCGTAGGACGCTACACTGTTAATATAATATATTAGGGTGTCCCATAAGTTTCTTCCTTCTTTTTGGATGCGAAATCAATAGACGATATTTGTTGCTTAAGGCTGATTTACTGTGTTATATATGAACCGTTCTGCTCTATTACCTTCTTGCATCTCTCAGGAAGCCTCATTATGCCCTCTCTCCAAAATTGTTCAGACTTACTTGCAAAATATTCATCGAGGTGCGTTTTTATTTCGCTTCCGGGTTTGTGACATTTATCACGGACAGAATTTTTTAACGAGAGAAACGAGTAATAATCGGATGGGGCAAGATCTGGTGAGTACGGAGGATGAGGTAGAACGTGCCAATCAATCTGTAAAGATTTCTGTCTAATAAATATCACAAATCCGAAAGCGAAATAGACACGCACCTCGATGAATATTTTGAAAGTAAGTCTCAACAATTTTGGAGTGAGGGCATAATGAGGCTTCCTGAGAGATGGAAGAAGGTAATAGAGCAGAACGGTTCATATGTAACAGAGCAAATCAACCTTAAACAACAAATATCGTCTATTGATTTCGCATCAAAAAGGAAAGAAACTTATGGGACACCTTAATATAATTATTTCTAAATTAAACTAATCGTTAAAAATAGATGCACGTGGTTTCCTTTACCTGTCAACTTGACAGGTGTCCTTAGAAATAGGTACTCAGATTGCGTCCTAGGTAAACCTAGTGTTAAAGAACCCATAAGAAACCATTAAGAAATCAATTAAAACGCATAAATTCGCACCATTCCAGATGGAGTGTATTAACCAAGAATATCTTGAATTAGTAGGCAGGAAGTATCGAATGGCGTGACCCGATAGCCATTCACAATTTCCGGCTCGGGTCCAGCGAAATATCTAGTCCAACTAGCCACGCAGACCGCGAAACACCATAGCTCGCATCGATATGGAATTTCGCGTCGTTTTTGATACAATTCCGCTTAACTCGACTAAAAACCGCAAATTCGAAAATCGATCGTCGCCCGGCTTTGAGACGAATGCCCGTGCAGGCCGCCTGTTCCGTTTACTTGCCCAATTTCCCTCGATAATGGCCGTTATGAAATTTGCAGCTCTCCTGTCAACAATTTCGTTGTTCCGTGAATTTTCGTTGATTGGCCGCGTAATTATCGACAACGATAATTATGAGCGGGAACTTTTCAATAACCGGGCTAACGCTGTTACTTTGTTTTCGACGTGCTTTTAGCGGGTAATTTCACCATTTACTAGTTTTTACATCGATACGGTGGTGAGATACCAAATTTATAAATGAACACTACCGGTATACACGTCAGTTTCGTACCGGTGGCCGTGTTTATAGCATCACTCTTATTTTAACACCTGTATTTTCGATGATTTTAATGACTATTATTTTGAATTAGGACTGCAATTTTGAAGGTTAAACATGCCTCGCTGTACTTCTAGCGGACCAAGTCATAAATCTAAATGCAAAAGTACTGAAAATTTACAACTACCAGACTCTACAGATTCTCAAAAGCAATCCTTCAGATGACAGATATAAGAAATATCTTTACTCTGTTATTTCTGAAACAAACGAGATGATCAGGTAATAAGGTAGTCGAATATTAGCTTAACCCTTTGCACTCGGCAATTTTTTCGTTACAGGAAAATAGTAATTCGAAGACCTTCTGCCACAATGTCGACGATATTTTTAAAACGGCGAATAAGAAATCGTATGCAAATTAAGACGGAGAATTATTTTACTCCGACATTCCACGCATCGTTGGGTAATTTTAAATTTGATATATTAATTAACATCGATCTTCAGAATCTGATTAAATGGCGACTGAGAAGCGCCTCTCGAGTGCAAAGGGTTAATGTTCCGTTCCAGAGGTCGTGTTTATAGCATAACTCTTATTTTAATTTTCGATCATTTTAAAGACTTTATTATTTTGGGTTACGACTGCAACTCCGAAGGTTAGACGACCCGATAGATTGGACCCACGTGCGACAGACCCACTGAAATGGCGAACAGACACCTGCTTATAAATCACGTCATTGACAACCGAAAAGCAACTTCCTTGACAGTTTCCCACTCCTCAACCAAAAGTCCTTCCAACACACCCACGTTCAATCAAAAATCTCGTGTTTTCCTCCACTAACATCCACTCTTAACCAATCAAAGCAAACCCGAGGAACACCGAACAGGACACGACGAGGCATTACAAGAATCAAAAAACAGAAATCAGTGCGTATTTGACAATGTTGGTAGCAATGTCTCGATTGATATGAATGATGAGTGAATGTGAAAGAACCGGTAATCGTGGAAGAGTGAATGAGAACGGACAACTGTGAATAAGTGTCAATTGTTTCTGAGAGCGAGCGTGGTGTGTGCTGTGAGCGTGGTGTTCGGAAAAATAAAATACCCACGTGGAATCCTAACCTCTAACAGACACCCATCACCGAAACATCTTATAAATATTGTAAAACGCGTGTCCGAAATGGTACTCCGCTCACGTTTCACATTTAACTATTGTACAGTTTAGTTCCAATAAATAATCACGATGCTAGTTACAAATAAATAATCTATTTCAAATTACACTCACGATCCGTGAAAATATAAAACTAATCAGGTAATATTAAGTTGGCGTGTGATGCGTTCCTGACAATTAGAGAAATTCAATTGATTGGACGTAGTAACGTCTTTTCGTGTATTTGCACGTGTGTCTTCGTTAATTTCCATTTTGGTGGAGATATTTTTGAATTTTTGTTTATGGTATAGTATTAAATATCGTATTCCGAACACCCTATAATTTTCTCATTAGTTACTTAATATATCGACTATTCCTAGTACCATAATATGTACAATCCTATGGGAAAGCAACACAAACCATAGAATCATATGGATGAGGAAATACTATGGAATGGAGAGAAAAAAATACTTATTAGCTAAATTTAATTACTCAATAAAAATGAAAAATTAAATTGGCATATACAGTCATGTCAAATGCTACAAATAAATTTTAAAACTGTAATAATTTAATATATTGTTTTATAGTATTTTTAATATCTTCCAATTTTATAAACATGATGGAATTTATTCAATTAATCAATCATATGGAACAGTTAATTAATTGAATATTTATCAGATCATTTTTCAAAAATGAATTATAAAATTATTTTCTCATATTATTCGTTCTGGACTTTTTGATATTCGTACAATGTCAAAAATTATTATAGTTCGCTTTGTTTCATATATTATGTTCCATAATGGAAAACCTAGCTTTTTACGCCACCAAGCTTTATATTCTTAAATTGTGTCACATAGGTATCACAATGCTACTTCGTTATTGTGTTTTATATTATAAAAAGAAATTCATGAAATGTCTGGCTAATCTTTTATGAAAAGAAATTCATTAAATAACTGACTTAAACCTTCGGTTTACACGTAAAATTAATGCCATTATTCTCTGACAGGTTAGTTTTACGTTATGATGTCCGTCTAATTAATTTAATTTAATGAATTTAATTTAACTCAATTGTTACAATGTTCGAACGAGGACTGAAATAAGAATAAGAATTTTTGTAATGAAAGGTGTCAGAGTTTAATATCAATTTCAAAAAAAAATAAATGTTAATATTTTATTATTAGCTACAAATAGATAATTTTGTAAATTGATGGATAAATTTTATAATATAGGATAATAAAATTTTATCTACGTAATGCATATAAATAGATTGGTAATACGTTGCCATAGCTACTAAATAGAATTTTATTGTTAATTAATTATACCAATTAACTTAAATTTGAATTTTTAAATTTAGAAATTGGTGAAATTAAGGCAAAATATTTTATAAAATTTAATGATAATTATAGTTAAAAATTTGTTAAATATTAACTGTAATTAATTTTAATTAAAAATTTAATTTCTTTGTTCTTTAAAATTCTAAGATCTTTTTAATTTTCGAGTTTATACAAATTCTGCATGTAATTCTAATTTTAATTAATTTACGTATTGCAGTAGCATAATCCTATAGTATAATAAAATAAGGATCTAGTGAAATCTGATTTTTACTGATATTTTCATAAAATTGTTAAGAGTACGTGTGTATAGGAAAAATGAATTTGATTACTCACGTTAACATCTTCATGTGCGAGTGTAAGCTACTCCAGCTGTAACAAAATAGAAATCAAATTATTAAACACTGCATAAAATCATTTCATATTTCAATAAATGTAAACAATATAGCATTAAAGTATAAAGAAACAATTAATATTCATAATTCTTCTTATTTAATATTTTATTTCAATTTCTGACAATTAAACATGTTAAATAGTATATGTTAAATAGTATTGAGTAGATACTCAATCAGTCTTTCAATTTTAATTTCAATTTTTAATTCTTAGTAATACTAAAAATTCATCGTCAGTCAACTATCTTGATAATCGATCAAGCGACTATTTGATACTGAACTATATTTTATACTTCAGAATCAACTATAAAATATCCTATGCTTCAAATGACTATAGTACCACTTAAAAACTATATTTACAATTAATTAATAGTAATTTTTAAGAAATTCTGCTGTTCTAACTAAATAGTTTTGTTTTATGATACTATATTATTATACTATTTTTGCTATAATATATATTAAATATGTACAATATTGAGAAATATTATATATGTATGACGAACAGACATCACAGTCAAAAGTATCATTAACTGAAGAAAAACAAGTTTCAGTATGTTCTTGGTTTCTCTTCTGCTAATATAACAACCTTAACCCCTTGCCCTACGATTTCAGTTCCTATAGCGCATGCCATAATCAACAGCAGACTTGGTCACACGTCGAGTCATTTCGTCCGAACGCGGCGAAGAATAACACATAACTGAGACAGGAAGACATCGACGAAAATGAACCAGGAGGCTAACCCGTGTTGTTTACATTAAGCCCTGTCTACAAACCACGACTCTAGTTCATGATACTCATACTTCGTCAGATTTCCTTGCCACGAGTCTCGCGCGACACAGTTTCCTATTAACAAGAAAGAGTTAAGACGATTTTAGCGCGCCGAACTCACTAGCGCCACCACGACACGTAACTACAACAAATGCGCTGCGGATATCGTATGGAACGTTGAATTAATTTCTAATTTTACTCGTGCAATTCTAAAACTTTATTCTTGTTCTGTGTATCATATTATTGCAAACACTTCGATTTAACATAATATTTCAGTAGATAAGTATAACAATCGTTCGAATATACCAAGATTTATTTGATAAATCTACAATTTTCGAGGGATGTCGTATATCATCAAGAATGGAGATGGTTGTGAACGAAGTAAGAAATCGAGGGAAAGTGACAAATGACACTATGCCGTTATTTCAGACGACCGTGAGTTCAGTGATACTACCTACCACGAAGTATGTCTTTCTGACTGATTCTCAGGAGAATTATTTCATATTTCAAAATTAGAAAAATCCAATTAACACTATGCTGCTCGTGCGTCTAATCGGAATTCTTTCGTGTGACGCAGGTGGGACTGATTTGCATGGGGTTGGGATCATTTGCGCATGATACCAACATGGTGTCACCAGCATTTGGCCGATAGTTTTCGCATGACACCAACGTGGTGCCACCGGGTGGCATAGTGTTAATTCCAACGACGAGTAAATATCGGTTCGTAGAAAAATCGGAACTGGAGCTTGTAAATTTCAGTTGTTAGGGGTCCTCCCACACAGTCGTTGAAGTCGACGGGTCGCAGGTATCCTCGTTGGCAGTGTAGTTAAAAAGGACGAAAGGAAAAGGAAAGGATGCGTATTGTCCCGGGCCTGCTAGGTCCCTCAGCCCTATCGGCCCATTCTTCGGCCAAACTGATGGTGTCCTCCAAACGCATATATGCGACGCTCGTCTGCAAAGGGCTATAGAGAATTAATGTAAAAATTATTAATAATAATATGGGGGTCCTCCCCAACTGTTACTGTTATCATTTGATTGGCAGATATCCTTGATGTGACGGTGGTGCTAGAAGGGGCAAAAGGAAAAGGAAGGGATGCGTTTAGTTCTAGACCTGGTAGTGTACTCGTCAGTGAAGCTACCCTAGCAGCCCCTGCCTTAAATAGAGATACTATTGGAAGGTCGGGAAGTTATATATATAGGAAAATGGAGGTTTTCCGAAGACTTTCTCCCAAGTCCTCGAAGTCGGAATCCCTCTAGTGGCGAGGATGTGAATGATAGTCGCTACACAGCTAATTGCTCAGCCGAGATGCAAGGTTGAATTGAGTGGCCATGAAAATGGTGATCGGCAAACAAGCTAGATAAAGTATAGTATAAAAAGGGAGGCAAAAGATGAATGAGAATGATGTTCTTCGCAATCTTTCTAATTTTCTAAGAAGATTATTAAGTATTGGTTTTTGGTTCATATAAATAAGTTTATATAAATCACACAAAGTAATATAAAATAAAGGAAATAATGGTAAGTGATGAAAATAAAATAAACAGGTTAGAAATCTATTTTAAAAGAGACTTTGTTACCATTTTCTCGTCATGACGATTCTCTTGTATTATACTGTGAGAAATGTGTGAAATAAATTGATGAAAGATCATGATGTGTGATATAAATTCGTAGCATGTTCTATTATTATATATATTATGTGAAATGAATTTATAGAACAATTTTATGTTATGCAGAGTAACGTCAGAAAATATTTTATGCTATGTTATTTTATGCTATATTCTATTTTATGTAAAATAGAATATTTTATATCGCGTGAAATAAATTTCGAAAACAATTTCGTGTTATATAAACTAAATTTATGAAACAATTCTAAATTGTATAAGATCAATTTATAAAACAACTGTATAGTATATAAAGTGAATTTTGAAAACGTTTCCTGTTTTATGAAATAAATTCATAGCAGAATTTTATTTCATGCCGAATAAATTTTTTAAATAATTTTTGTTATGTCACGTACGGTAATTGTATATTTACGTACAGTAATTCTATTAAATAATTATATAGCGTGTAAAACGTGTTTACAGAACTATTTGATGTTATCTGAACGAATTTCGTAAAGAACAGATGTAAATGTAAATATTACAATACCTAAATTAGAATTCGACTTCCTGTCGGATTTAATGGATAGTTTATGGGTGATTTTTGACAGAATGTGAAACGTGTATAACAGATGGCTTCCACTGCGTCTTTCATGGCTTTACAGAATCCCTGTTATTGGTCCATGCTTTAGTACACTTGTTGTAAAAGGCTTTATAGGTCTCTTACAATTTAGGCAAAATTAAACAGCATTAATCCGTTTAATTTTGGGTTTTATCCTTGATATAAAATATTATTTTATATCTCTATATGTAGAAAATAAAGCAATTTGAAACTGAATAACGTGGAGATTTTTACCTCTAAAGTCACAATTTAAATTATAAAAATTTATTTAAATTATGAAAAATTTCAGAAGCTATGCTTCAAAACTGAATATGAGTATGAATACGAATTATTTTTGAAAAAACTATAATTTGAAATTACTGATAATTTCAGAATATTATATGATGATTTATACTTGGAAACTAATAATTAGAACTTATGAAAAAATACTAAAAAATTACTAAAAATCTCTGAAAATCACTAAAGAGGACTGGAAATTGTTAAAGGTAGCTAATAATTATTTAAAATTAAAGAGAACTATGAGAAAATTGTATGAATCATGCTTAAAACACGATAAATTGAAATTATTAAAAGATTTATGTACTATGCTTGTCAAATGACAATTTAAGATTATTAAAAATTATACGAGTTATGCTTGAAATAGAATTTAAAATGATTAAAAACTGGCTCAGTTAGACACGAAAAACAACAATGTAGAATAATTAAAAATGTTATATCCGATTTATGTCAGAGGATTTTTACACAATGGTTGCTGTAATTATATTTCAAACCACGAAGTAACGCTTTGTAAAAAATAAATTGGAATAAGGGAATATGTCACTCTCGTTAATTTATTTTTCTATGTTCTTCGTGCTTTCCATGTCATGAGCAATAACAAAGAGAAACAGACTGACATGATTATGATCACGGGCAGACAATACGGAAAAGAAAATAACAAAGAAGGTAAAAAGCAATTGTTCAAAATTTTTTAGCAAAGACATTTAATATCCGATTAATAAAATAAATACAACTTATTATCATTTAAAAAACAACACCTAAATTTCTAAGTATGAGTAACTATACAACGATATTCTACATTATCTTGATCCTTTTTCAAAGATTAACATTTAATTTTTCCAAATTTCTACATTTTTAATTAAAAATAAATAAAAGTTATACAATCACTTATCAAGTAAAATTTGGTAAATTTCAATTCAGCCAAATAAGTATCATAATAAACACAAATTTAATAAATTCACAAATAAATATAGATTTACAATTAATTACAAATGGAAATAAACATAAACTTGCAAATAATTACATAAAAATAAAATAAAAATAATTATATATAATAAATATAATAATAATAAATAATAAATATAGATAATATAATTATATATATAATAAATAAAAATAATTATGAAGTCTCAAATAGCAATAAAAATTATAAATAAATATAAGAAATCAAAGCAAACGAAAAAATTATATAAAACAAGAATAACTTGTCTCTCTAAATATTGTACTTTTCATCGTTATATTTTTTCTTTTTCATTAACTTCATCACAAATAAATTACTAGCCAGCTTAACTTCAAAATTCCGAGCTGTTTAAATTTCCACAAAGTGCACGTTACGTCCAATTCTACTCGAAATTTCACAGAACCACGTCAGTCTTCGAAATTTACATATTTCTCTTCGTGTTTCACACCGCGTACAAAGCAACTTATAATTTTCCCTTGAAATGTACGGAAACAGTGGACTAATAAACTCTGCTAACGTTCCCAATCGAATTTCATTACCCTCACTGATACACGTGAAGCTCGGAATTCAATCTAAAGTAACTTTCCGTTTCGCATTCTGGGAAGGAGTTGTGCAAACACAACACTCGTTCCTCGGGAGAAATTGGCGCGCCTGGAAAATATTTTAAATTCACAGAAGCGGGAAACTGTGGCGAGGAATAAAATTTTATCTTCCAGAAGATCGATCGATAATCGAATCTCTCTTTCGTACTGATTTC